AAAGATAAATATTTGTTTAAATAAATAAATGTTTATTTTATTTAAGATATTACTTATTATGAAGTTATAAATTCATATAAAAGTGTAGATGGATCAATTAATTTTGACCTATAATAAAAATTTATCCGTTATAAGAAGTTGTTTGGTTGGTTTCTCATTAAGTCATGAATAAAAAAAAACGTCTATATAGATTAATACGTCTGTACATATTGGGAAGATTTTCATCTAAGAAGGTGTTTTTATAAATGGTCGGAACGTGTTTTTTTAATTGGAAGGGACGAGTTTGGAAAAGACTGAATAAATCATTTTATGTATCATTAAGTCACTACTAAACAGTCATATATAACTGACCAAATAAGTCGTCCGTCTCATCGAACTACTAACAAATAGCCCCCTATGTCCACCATACCCTTTTATTTGGTCATGCAATTTAAATAATTGAAAAAATAATGATTTTTTTGAAGTATATAATATTTATATACAATAAATACAACAAATAAATTTACACACCCTTCTCATTTTTGGTGAAGTTTGAACCCCTGACCTCCTAAGAGATCAAATGCTACGATACCGTTAGACCAAAAGCTTTTTAATATTTAATTTTATACTTGATGTAACATAAAATAAAAATAATGATGTCGACAAAACCTTTGACCATTTAGTATATTTAACGTTGTTGAAAGGACAAAACAATGCACATGACCAAACACATTGCATGTGTTATAGCAAGGACTGAAAGATAATATAATATAAAAAATAAAATAAATAAAATAAAATGTGAGGTTTATTATTGGTACTAGAAAGGTATTCGTACAATATAGTGAGATATATTTTGATTTTAATTTTTCGTATTATTTTTTTCGTCTCAGTCAATGTTATAATACGGTTTTATGTGGTTTTGAGAAAGCATAATGTTTTTATTTTTAAATAAGATATAAATATGAAGATGTCATAAAAAATTGAAAAAAATATTGATATCAGTATCAAGCTAACTATTTAAAATTTCCCTTTTTTTGTGTATTTCTTTAATTCATTTTTTTTATTTTAGGTTTAATAATACATATTTATAAGATAATAGTTAAGTGTTTTGTTAGAAGACAATGACTATCCTAATTATATTTTAGATTTTTTGTATTTAAAATGAGATGTTTATCTTCTATTTAATCATGTTTATCTGCAAGTAGTTACATAAATTCAAACATGAAACTTTAATAACTTGTACTTACGCATAATTTACTTGTAATCTTCAATTTTAAGTAATATACATCAATAAACAGTACTTCATGCATAAAAAATGATTTTTAAGAGTTTTTATCAAATATTTTATAATATAGTAGAGATAATATAGTGGTATGATATGCGTATACTCTTTGTAGTTGTAATACAAGATATTTTCCTCTTGATCACGGTTTTAAAAAAGCGTCTGATAGAAAAGGTATCAAGTCTCTAATCATTCTCATCTCCAACTGATGTGAGATCTCACAATCCACCCCCAAAGGGAACCCAACATCCTCGCTGGCACAACAATCATGTTCCTGACTCTGATACCATTTTAACATCCTCGATCGACCAACCATATCAAATATTTATTTAAACTTCAAGTCGTAATTATCAGACAATCATGTTAATTCTTTCAGTACTTTATTCTTTGAAATATATAATAAACCCGTATTTTACATAACCCATAAACGCCATATAATATGCCAAAAAAACAGTTATCAGAGTCCAAAAAGAATACAAGATAAAGGAACACAACACTGTAAAGGTAGCAATTACAGTTCATTCATATAGAAAACGTGTTTGTTTTAGTTATATCTTACTAATACTGAATCAGATTTAAAATTATGTATGCAACTAAAAATGAAACAGGTCAAACATGTCGAAAAGTTTAAAAGTAGCTCAAACGTTAACAACCTCCAATTGTTTTTACTAAAAACATGAAATAATTGTTCTAGAAAACAAACGTTGTAATCATATTTAATATACAACCTACTTAAAATTTTCAAAACATACACAGAAAATTGTCGATGGATCAACCTGACCAACCCATTTTGGTCTATCCTGAGATTTTGCCCATTTCGACACGAACTCATTTAACCCGTAACAGTTTCTTTTAACCCGTCCATATTGAAAACATCTCCAAAGAAAACGTTGATGATTGACTTGACCCAACCCGTCCCATCTCATTTTGACCTGAACTCAGTCAGTTCATCGTTTATTCTATCATTTACTTATACAGATAAAAGAGATAATACTGATAAACCAATATCAGATAAAAACAAGAGAGTTGGAAGGTTGAATATGGTGCACCATGGTCCAAAGGGATCACAATCCAAGTTCCACTTCTAAAAGCACCACTACCTTATGCTTGCACCTTTTTAATGAATCATCTTTTTCAATCCACACACTATTAAAGGGAAGTAGGGTACCCCTAAAAACACACACACACACACATATCTTTACAAAGCATTTTTCTTTCAGGTGCTTCCCCCCTTTATCACTGTTCTCCATTTCTTATCTTAGCAAAGAAGGAATTCTATAAACAAAAGGTATGTCCAACCATACATCTCTACGGTTTATGTTCATAAAAGTACTGAGGAAAAGACAGATTTACGTTCGTTTAATCGCTTCAAGATTCTTTTTTGATTAGTTTATCGTGATATCAGACGTTTAGGATCCTCTTGTGAGCAAGAAAGATAATGGAAAATTGTTTAAGGAAAAAAGGGTAAATTGCATGAAAAAGTAATGTAATTTAACTTGATTTCTATTTTGGATAACATACTTTCAAAACTTCTATTTTGGTATCTAAGGGGTTGTTTGTTTACCTCTTAATAGTTCCATTAAGAGGTGAATCATTAAGAGATGAATCTTGTTTGGCAAAAAAAAGTTTGCCCTATTAATGGTTCTAAAACCCTCTGAATGATTTTATATCATGAGCCTCCCTTAACCATAAAGTGTCATGGTTTCATTGTAAACAATTACCAGACAATTATATTTCATTTTGCACTATATCATGAAAGCCTCTTAATCATTCTGACCACCTAATCATTCTGCACCAAACCATTCAGCAACTGCCAAACAACCCCTAAGATGTAAAGTTTTAAATATTTTAGTGTCCAGGTAATCGGTTGAAGTATTAATCGGTTACCATACTGATGTAGCGAGTGATGTGGTATGCAATTCAGTATAAAATTTATTGAATTTTAAATTCAGAAGGTAAGTCAAATCACTCGCCATATCAACATGGTAACCGGTTAATGTTTCAACCTGTTACCTGAGTACTTAAATGTTTAAAAAACTTTACATCTTAAGTACCAAAATGAAAGTTTTGAAAGTACGTTATTCAAAATAGGAATCAAGTTGAAGTATGTTACTTTTTCATGCAATTTACCTTAGAAAAGATGGAAACTTATGGTCAGTGTATGAGACTGGGGATCAATCTTGATCGCGCTCTTTGTATGCTGTTAAATTAATCTGAATTTTCTTAGGTTTTTTTATCTGGTTTTATGAATTTAACCTCTGGTTATCAACAATAACAAAAAGGGTAATACACACACAAACAACTTGTCTAATGTCGGTGTTCAGGGTTGCATTTTAGAAGTCGCGATTATCGGTTGATTGTGAGCATCTGAGTTAACTTGTTCATGCTTATGATTATATACGAGTCAAGTAATAAGTTAATTTTGAGTAAGCCGTTTTGATAATACGTACAACAAAAGTGATTAACAGAAGGGAAATAAAATTACATGTAAGATGTTTTTTAACCTGTTACTTTCTTAAATAATCAGATATTCTCAAATACTCATTACAATAAACAACTGATTATTATAACTTCAAACAGTTGTTTTTTTATGAAAATTAATTCATATATATCTGATAAACTACACTAAACGGATCTATTACGTACATACGATGCTAGAAATCTTAACGTTCTTTTTTTTCCATCGCCACTTTTTATTTCTAATGCTATCTTATTTTGATTGGTTAACATCATATATTATCTTTCTAAACGTCTATTCAAATACCCTCTAAATAAAGAGTAATCTCGTTTTAGCCAAATATAGTGGGATAGTTAAAGGAACTTTTGTTTCAAAATCCCAATTTCGGGCCGAAGCGTCAAATCTTGCGTAAGCCATGTGTGCCACATCAAGAATACAGCTAGGATGGTATTCTGATTCATCTATCCTTCAGAGTAATAATACCTTGAAAGTTATGAACCATAATATCTTCTTCCATTATTTACGTGTTAAAAAGACAAAAAGGTCCTTTTCAAGAACAATATTTTTAGTTATTTTTTCGGGAAATTAATAGAAATAGCCATTTCAGGGATCAAATTCATCTCTTAGCCACTTCTTTACAAAATTTTCAATAATGTCACTACCTCCACAAGTAGCGCCTCCGTGACTTGTGGAGGGGTTAAAAGACAAAGTAAAATCATCTTTCACTCACTTGCAGAGGTGCTACTTGCGGACCTGAATGAAAAGTGGTTTTTTTTTGTCTTTTAGCTCATCTGCAAGTCGTTAAAGTGTCATTTGCGGAG